ATAAAAGATACGCCTTCTTTCTTTGCGTGAACATTTGGGCGGCGTTATGCAAATCTTCCCACATAGTGAGGTAGACATGTGGCGGCGTGTTAGAATGAGCTGTTTTAGGTAGGCGTGGCTGACTCTGAACTTTTATAAAGAATATCTCTTTGGATTTGAGACTTTAGTCTTTGCAAACTTAACAGATCTTCTTTATGCACCAAGAGCTTGTAACACTCCAAAGAGAAAGGAAAAATTGAAATTGCATCATATGACCCCTTTAAATATTTACTTGAAGGATACATGCCAATATTTTACAATATTTTCTTTAATATTATTATTAGCATTAATAATGAACTGATTTAATTAATTAATTTATTATTATTATTATTATTATTATTATTATTATTATTATTATTATTGCCATGGTACTGAAATTGGTTCTGAAAATCATTTGTTGTAATGCATAATTAAGAGCTCATATTAAAGAGTTGGTTCATGGCCATAGACTGTAGGCTATGTTTTTAAAGACTTCTGGAGAGAGGAATATATTACTTTAGGGCGTGATCCTTGTCTTTTATTGTCGCCTTAATTAAATGAAAAATGTCATGGAAAAAGTCCTCGAAGTCCTGGAAAATTATCAGTGAAAAAGTGTGGGAACACTGATATGTTCATACTATATTGAACAAGCTGTTGAGTGTGCTATTCCAATCATAGCCAGTGTGATAAATTGTGAGCAAAAAAATATGCATAACATCAGTTATAAAGATGTCGTTATAAAGATTCTAGTGCCACAAAACAGTTTTAGAAGAATAGTGTATTCTTAGTCTAAATAATTTGTAATAAATTATTTTTAAAAAGTATATTTTAACAGTAATTTGGTATGAAAAATGACATTTTATTTTCTATTTTTTCACTTGTTGATTCAACACTGGTCTTGGACTTTATGCTGCCAACTGTTGACATGGATGCAGTTTCGAGCAGAAGTTTGCAGTCACCGATTCCTGCATTGAGTTATCCTAGTCACAGGTATTTTTTATTAATTAATTTATTTTTGCCCATTATTAATTTATTCTGCAACCAATAGTGTGTGTAAATGGGAATTATCAAGTTAAAGTGCGTAGTATTCTTCTGGTCATGTGATCTGGCAGC